TGGTTTTTTGAAGGGGATTTTGTGTTCAGTTGGTTTTTGTTGTATCTGGGGTTGTTGGTTTTTTGGGGGGTTTTATGTTTTGGGTTGGTTTGTTTGTTTTTTGGGTTTTTTTGTTTTTTATTGGGTTTTTTTTGGGGGGGGGTGTTTTTGTTTATTGAGAGGATAGGATGATAGTTTTGTTTAGATGGTGGTAATGGGGTTGGGTGAGGCTTTGATTTTCTTGTATTTGAGAAGACTAAGGAACAAACCTAATTTCATGTCCTCTTAACTCATCCCATTTTATCTCATTCCTTCTAATTTCAAAATCTTTTCGCATTATTTATTTATCTCCTCATCCTACCTCAACTCTTTGGATATTACCTCTTCTCATTTTACCTCATCTCACCGTTTTAATGTTCTTCATATATATAAGACAGGAAAATTGCTAACCATGTGCGTCTCTCCGACTTCCATGCCAGGATCTTCTCCTAGACATGTGCAAAAAGTGCAAAGAAATGAGCATTCCCTTGCTTAAGGTGAGAGCACCAAACGTGTGTCGTCCATGCCCAGCACAATTGGCTTAACTGTTGTTGTTGTTGGTGGTGGTGGTGGTGGTTATTATGATGATGGTGGTGATGTTGCTGTAGTAGTTGTTGTTGTTTTGTTGTTGTTGTAGTTGTTGTTGTTGTTGTTGTTCTTGGTGCTGTTGTTGTTGTTGTTTTTGTTGCTGCTGTTGCTGTTATTGTTGTTGCTGCTGCTGCTGCTGTAGTTGCTGTTGTTGTTGTTGTTGTTGCTGTTGTTGTAGTAGTTATTGCTGTTGTTGTTGATGTTATTGTAATGTTGTTATTTTACGACGTCCCCATTGGTACCGCACATCCCGGCGTTAATGTAACTGGCTATAACACTATTGCCATGTTATCTCATCTCCTATGAACTCATCCTACCTCACCACGGTCCATCTGATTTCCTCGCATTTCTTCTTTTTACCTCAGCTCTTCTCATCTCAACTACCGACAATTGTTTTCACTTTGTGACCTTATGAAAGCTAACTCACTAACGATGCCGAGTATTATATTTACTCGCAACTGACCC